TCGTATGATGGCCGAGAAAAATGAAAAGCTTATTCGCTTCTAGATTTTGGATTAAAATTTAGCTTTTGTTATAAGATAAGAACTAACCTAATTCGGTGCAGTGCACGAATTAATTTCAATTTTGTTTGTGTTGTTTTTTGATAAATGTTGAGGGTTTTGATTTCCTCCAATAATGGCACTACCGCCTGCTATTAATCAATAGTTTCAATATCAAATTTACAAATTATGAAATTTCCCAAACTTCTTTATGGGACAAACAGTTGGACAAAAGGAAAAATACAATATATGTGCAAAAGTGTGCCATTTACTTACACTAAATTTTACAGGAAACGTCATGTAATTTTAGAACATTTGACAGACACAATTAACCATTTTTCAGACTTCGAAAAATTAGAAAGTATCAAAGATTGGAGCAAACTATACTGTACTAGAAAATTGCTAAAAAAAAAACCACGTTGCTTAAGATTTCTGATTTCATGGCTGATGGCAATCAACGACATATCATTATGAGCATTCGCATGCTGAGAACATGCATAAATGTGAGAAAAACTTGATCATCATTTTCATAGAGGAACGGAAACATTAAAACCCAGCAGCATTTCCATGCACGAGCGCATACAATAATAACAAAAAAAACCTCTTTATAAAAAATGAAATAAGTGAAAAAGTTGAGCCATACTTCATGCAATATGCATCACCAGGATGGAACATACGTCACATACAGTATACAGAGAGCACGGTAATTCGGGTATATACATTTAAAAAAAAAGAAAAAAGGCAAATCAGTCAGTTGCGATTCTATCATGAAAAGGACACTTTTGAAATACAAAATAGGAAATTACAACAGAAATACTGCATGCTCTACGATGTCTTGCATATTCATAGTAAAAAAATTTCTCTAATTTCAGATTTCTTGGAAATATGTGGACAATATCAATGGTCAGGTGGTTTAAATCAAAGCAAATCTTTGTTTTTTCAATCAACTATCTTCAGCAATATCATGTAATATTTGTGGGTTTGCAGGATCTTTAGGTCAAGGGAAACAAGGGCAAGATTGAGGTCGAAGTTTTTTTAGCTTTTGTGTAATAGAATGACAAACCTTTCAATATCGCCTTGTTGGGCCCTCTCTGTAATGAGTTCCATGAGTTCCATCCAATGCAATATGATGAACTCGTCCAGGATTGGTGAAAACAACTTCTCTATCCGGGTAATGCATCTGTTGGGTAGCGATAGAAGCTCGAATGGCTCTACATGCATAACAGGCCACTAGTGAGGAGCAGGCCAACAAAACCACGAGAAAACAGCCGAATATCAGCCATCTGAAATGCTTTTTTTACCCAAAAATTCGTGAAAATAATAAAATAAGCTCCCTAACGTGAGAAATCGGAAGTCCACCGGTACACATAGGTATTTGTTAGCTGCTCCATTGCACTTGTCAGCGAATACACACTCAGCATTCTTGCATGATGCTCTGCCTGTAATGGAAAAATT